ATGAATCCCAAAATCAGGTGGCAAAATGGCAGGAAAGCTGCTAGCTCAAGTTCCAAGAACCGGAGGTCAGACCAACAGGAGTCAGCTGCAGGATCCAGAGCGAGCAAAAGCCTGCTAGCCTTTCCAGAATGTCCATTTATATTTGATGCAGGCTACACTCCCGAAGAAACTCCTTTCCAACTGATTGGCTAGTAACAGCAGATCCCATCATGGAAGTGATCACATTATATCAAATCTCATTATGGAAGTGACCCTATCATCATACAACTGACAAACTACATCATAACTGCCAAATCACTGAGAATCATGGCCCAGCCAGGTTGGCACACAACCTTAACCATCACAGAGGCGCTGACTCTCAAGGCCAACCCTGCACTTGCACAAACCTGAGAGTGAGTGCCTCCTTAAATTTTGTGCCCGTGGCATCTCTCTTGCCTCACTCTAGTCCCAGCCTGGTCTTAACCCCTGACTTTTGCTGAGTTCAGTCAATACGAGGCATGATAGGTGCAAAAAGGCAAGTGAAAGGTGAGATTATGCTACTTATTACTCCAGCTTCCTCTGTGGGGTGTTGCCATGGGAGGGTACACATGCTTTTCTCTATATATGGATTCCTCTAATTACTCCTTCCCTTCAGCCTCGTAGGCTTGGGATAGCTACTAGCTCTGGGGCACTACATTATCCCTTGTAGTTTCCCTACACCTGACTGATATCTTGGTAAATAGTTCTGTAAAATATGTATATCTCTGTATAGCTTTATGTATCACCGTAATTACACATAACTATTTATCAATATACATTGATCATTACTGTTTTGTCTCATTTGTGGTTTGGTTAGAATTTTCTCATCAGCTTTCCCTGGACTCTGTAAGCCTTTTCAATCAGTTTTTTTTTTTTTTTTTTTTTTAATTCAGAGATAATTCCATCTATTACTTAAGTATTGTTCCTTTCTTCTTACTGTTTGTATGTCTCCTGTACCTATTCTACGAATCTCTTATATTTTCTCTCATTATTTTCATGACTTTAGATGTTTCCTCCACTTGGTCTTCTAGGCCACTAATTTTGGTCTCAACAGTGACCATCCTCTCTTTCAATTCATATACTGAACAATTGAGATGGGAAATCAAGAATTTAACATGCAGAATGTCTTTATGTGCGTGTGTGTATGTGTGTGTATGTTTGCTGCACACTTGAACTTCTTTAAATGTTATTGTTTTTCTTATCAAATTATCCTTTGTCTCCTCTAGGAGCTTTGTGGGTTCTGTTTATTTTGTAGCTGATTACTGAGTAAGCTGGACTTGGTAGAGTGGGTAAGCAGAAAACAACTTTATGCTTTTCAAAATGTTTTCTCACTGTTGATCTTGCAAAATTACTAAGTTTACTTGTTCCTCCCCATCTCTGGACAAAATCTCTGACGATTCTCCTAATTTTACTAATCATTATCAGGTAATGAATGAAGAGTTTCCTTTTTCCTGTTATATCTTACCTGACAGGTCACTTTCTGACCACTGGGCCCCTTTAGACTGTTATGTTTCTTAGTTGACTCAGAGAAGCTCAGATCTGTTTACTTCAATACCTTAGGAGTCCCTGGGTGGTGCAAATTGTTAAAGCACTCCCTTGGAGGTTCAGGTCCACCCAGAAATGCCTTGGAAGAAAGACCTGATGATTTACTTCTAGAAAATCAGCCATTGAAAACCCTGTGGAGCACACAGTTCTACTATGACACACTTGGGGTGGCCATGAGTCAGAATTGACTTGATGGTAACTGGTCAATGGATTAATGACCACAGTCTTTTAAATAGTGAAAGGTAAAGGTCTTTCCCACTGTAATGGATTGAATTGTGTCTTCCAATATTGAAGTCTTAACCCCTGTACCTGTGAATGTGACCCTGTTAAGAAATAGAATCTTTGAAGATATGATCAGTTAACATGAAGTCGTATTGGAGTAGGGTTGGTCCTAATCCTATATAACTGCTGTCCTTATAAAAGAGGAGAAGATACACAGAGACAGAGAGACAGAGGGAAGAACACCATGTGACACCACAGCTGCAAGCCAAGGAATGCCTGGAGCTAACAGAAGAGAGGCATGTAATAGACCCTCTCTCAAAGTCTCAGAAGAAATCAACATGGTCGACACCCTGATCTCAGACTCCCAGCCTTCAAACTGTGAAGCGATAAATTTCTGTTCTTAAAAGCCACTCAGTTTGTGATACGTTGTTGTGGCAGCTCTAGGAAACTAAGACATCCACTGTGGGCTGTTGTATAGAGGTAAGCCAACCTCAGCTCCCTTGATGAAGCATCTGGAGAAAAATTTATGGATCACTGATTTTTCAGTTTTCTCACAGATCAGATGGTTCATTCTTGGCCTCCTGGGGTTCAGTGAGACCAGGAACACTTACACAGGGCCAAAAGTAACATTTCCCTGGGTGAGGGGAGGCAAGGGACACAGATCCCAACTGGCCAACATAGTCCAAGGATACAGCACAACTCCTGTCATTGTTCTATGACTCTGAGACTGGTCTCCAGGGTCATGCTCAGATCTCAGCATCAGAATAGAACCCGTCTAACTTTGCACCCTGCTACTTGACGATTCCAACAGCTGTTTGCCTGAGGAGATGAGAGATTAAACTTGAAAGAAGGGAAGGGTGCTAAGTTTCGGTTGCCATCTTTCCAGAATCTACTACTCCCAGCTGTCCAGCTGCTTTAATGAAGCACCTTCAGTCAAATGGAATTTTTAAGTTGTTTTAGTGTCTTCCTAAAGGATAAAGCTCGCAAGCTCTCACAGAAACTTCGAAAAATGACTAAAACAAAAATCCTCAGTTCTAATTAAGTCTACTTTGGGTTTAAGTCTGAATACTATAGTTAGATTTAGCATTTAATTTAGAAAGAGCAGGAATGACAGACTTCTGGGACTATCTTTTCAGCAGGTATATCTACCTTAAGAGCAGGCTTAAGGGAAAAGGGTAGGAGTAGGAAGAAAAATTGTATTGAACGCCTGTGGTGCTCACGGTACTAGGCATTACTTTATTTAATCCTTAAAACAATAAAATAAAATAAAATAAAAATAAAAGCTATTTTTGTCCCATCTTAAATTGAGGATACACTAACTTGATGCTCAGATAGTTTATGTTATTTGCCTAAGTTCACTCATATCTGCCAATTCCAAGACTCCTGCTTGTTTCTCTGATACTGAGTATCAGGAAAACCTGCCACCATTACCTATGATATTATTAAGTATATTTTCTATTTCTTACTATTTTTATTGTTAGTACCTACAAAGAGTTTGTGTTCTATCTTCTGAGCCAGCAGGGTAGTTAGGGAAACTGTCCTGGTTTACAGTGATGGGGAGAACAGGAGAATAATGAGCAACAGGAATCAGAAGAGAACAGGACGGTCAGTCCTTGTTGTTTGTTGAAACAAAGAAAGATGACTTCATGACTTTGAGCTGCTGCTGCTTCTACTCCTCCCAGCCAGTAGCCGGAAGAAAGTTAACAGCCAGGAAAACTTCTGTGCTCCTCCTCTTCTCCATACATATCTGAGCCCACCACCTTTTCTTGAAGCCTTTTTCTATTTCTTGTCCCTCATCCACACAGCCTCAATTATGTGAAGGGAAAAGCTTTCCTCCTTCTTTTCCCCCTTCTGTCCTCATTGTCTTCCTGTCATTCTATTTAAGGGCCAAAATCTGCTTCCATTTGTGAAGAGTTGCCCATGAGTAGCAATGGTGACACAGAATAAAGTAAACCTTATGTTTCAAGTAGAAACCCAAGCCAGTTTATACCTCCTCACTCTTGAACATTTCCAGAAGACCCCCAAAGCCTTCCCCTAACTTAACCCATTGCCATTGAGTAGATTCCGACTCATAGAGACCCTTTAGGACAGAGTAGAACTGCCACATAAGGTTTCCAAGGCTATAACCTTTATGGAAGTAGACTGCCACATCTTTCTTGTGTGGAGTGGCTGGTGGGTTCGAAACACTGACCTTTCGGTTAGCAGCTGAGAACTTAACCACTGTGCCACCAGGGCTCCTTTCCCCTAACTTAATTGCTTTTAATTAAACATGCTTCTCCCCAAGCACAGTCAAGATTTAAAAATTCTTCTCTTATTCAGTTTCTCTTTTAATTATTGGAATTGCATATGTATGTCTATGTGTGTGTATGTATAAACGTACATATGTGTGTGTTTTATATCTATGTACGTGTTAAATATATATGTGTATATATATGCATATATATTTACCATTTTTTACATAACCTCTATGGGATAAACAGTTAAAATATGCTTTTGCAGGTTAACTGGAATTCATCACTTCCAAGATAATTTCCATGTGAAATACATTTTGAATTCCAAACAAATAGATTACAAAATGAACTTTTCAAATGCAACTTGTTTCTAAGTTGAGTTCTGGCTTTATACTGTGTGGGTTAATGAGAATTTAACGAGAAACAGTTAAACAGCAATGTAATAATATAGTTTAAAAATGTCAATAGTTTATAGGATTTGCCAACAAAACTATTTAGCTTATTTAGGATGTTATTTTTTAAAATTTTTTAACCATTCAGAAAAAAAGTTAAAATTGTGCTTGGAAAAAGCATTTTATAGTAATGAAGTTCCAACATCAACTAACAAGAAGCTGTTCAAAATTTTACAAAGCCTTTTTAATTGAATGGATTGCTAATGTAATACTTTTTTCCAATGATAAGCCAAAAGCTGATATTCAATCAACTGCACATGCATTAAATCAATGGTACATTTGTCTTATGCGACATTTAGTTACAGACCAGGTTATTGGTGTTGTTATTTGGCTTCTAATAGCAAATTTCCAGAGTCAGTCTACGCCATTCTTGGTCCTGAAGCACATTTTACTGTAGGAATGTAGATAAATTGAAGAATCTAATTGAGATCGTAGAAATTCATGAACTAGTTCCTTTTGTTGATAATTACTTCGTAATTTTGTCCTATTATTCACTAAAAATGGTCATTGTTCTTCAACAGATCACGGTTTATTTGTAACTTCAGTTTCTATGCTTAGCTTTCTTATACCATCCATTAGAACATTTCTACTTGGACGAGAATTTCTTCTATCATCTTGGAACTTGATTGTTTGCTACTTGTTTTCCTAATATTGCTGTACAGAATTTACTTTATCAGGCATTTAAGCTTTACTTGAGAAGTTTAACAAATCATCCAATGGTGTTATATTGTTTAATTTATGTACTTTGAGTATATTTTTTAAAGGCTTTGAACAACTTTTGACAGTTGAGGCACTGAATTTGTGTGAGTTCATTGGTTTTGTGGTAGAAAACATTCTTTCAAATTTGCCTGTTTTAGTATTCCTTTCTTGAATAACAGTTTTATCAAGGAAACCAACGAATTTTTTTGTTAGGCTGGAAAAAGTCTGTGAGAAATTATGGAGTTTACTCCAACTTCTATTTTCTAATATCGGCTTATTATTTTTCCTCTTTAGTTTATCCTCTACAACTCTGCATTTCACTTCAAAAGGTGTTGTTTGTATATTTTTCCTCCATGCCGTAGGAACAGTTCTTTTGAGATTGGAAGGAGTAATAGATTGACCACTAGTTAAAGATTTGAGGACTCCACAATTTCTTTCTAAAGTAAAATTTGTTCTTTTGTGTGGGTAAATGTTTTCACTTCCCATAGGATGAAGAGGAAACTTATTTTTTGTCAACAGTAACATTTGTACATATCTTGTCTCATGGAAAATTATGGGATTTGTGTAATTTTTTTCCTGTGAATAAAAGAAAAGAGTATTTATTTAGTCTTCAGTCTATTGATGCAAGAAAGCTACATATGTTTTTAAACATAAAAATAAAATTACTGTAAAACATTCTAAAAATGACTACATAGAATTATTTAACATGAATAATGGTATTCAAACACACACACAAGAACATACTTGTATGTAACATACTTCCTTCTCTTCTTAACAATCTACAGAGATGTTTGGCATGCAATCCGAACTTTTGGCTTCCTTAAGGCCTTTTTGAAAATAAACTGGCTGTGATTAAATAAATATATTTCGAAATGTTTGAGGTGTTGTCATTGGAAATAGGATACTTGGTAGGACAGTGCATTGTTTCAGCAGTTACTAGGTTCTCATGCTCCAGAAATAAAAACGTATCAACAAATGGATGGAGCCAAAGATCAGAAGATGATCACAAGCCAAAATTACCAAGTCTGGATATCCTACTAAATAATTAAAAAAATTAAAATCCATCTTTACAACTGTTATATTTATTATGCTCCAACACGTAGCACAATACTTGGCACATAAAAAGAGCTCAATATATATTTGCAGAATAAATGAACTAAAGTAATAGATTTATTTAAAAATAGACCATCTTTATCAGAATAATAGCAAGATTCGTGTGTATAAGATACTCACTAAACCGTTTCTCACATTTCCATTAGGCCAAAAAGATGAACCCCAAAGAAACTGATCATATATGCATATTACCAGTACAGAGTCTGCAAATTTTAAGTCAATGATTACTACAGTTCCTTTAAAAAATATAATCAATGAAATAAGAATTTTTAAATTGTATGTTAGTGCACTTAGTGTAAAAGGTATACTAATGCCTATGATTAATGAAATGCTAACAACCAAAGGTCTAATTCTGCAATCTGTTGGTGATGTCAGTATTGCCCATTTAGCTACAGTGTTGCTGTTAGTTGCCTATCTTCCAAGGCACCTCTGGGTGGGTTCAAACGACCAACCTTCTGGTTAGTAGTTCAGCACTTAATATTTTGATCTGTATAGCAGCTTAGGGAATTTTCCACCTTACAAGTCTATGCACCTTTAGGTACAGGCAGAAACTAGCTTTCTCGGCCTCCTTTGAGGTTAGGGTGTAGGCATGTGGTGGCTTGAGTGTTGTTGTGATGCTGGAAGCTATGCCACCAGTATTTCAAATACGAGCAGGATCACCATGGTGGACAGGTTTCAGCAGAGTTTCCAGACTAAGACAGACTAGGAAGAAGGACCTGGTGGTTTACTTCTCAAAAAACTGGCCAGTGAAAACCTTATGAACACTGTCTGATATAGTGCCAGAAGATGAGCTCCTCAGGTTGGAAGACACTCAAAGTACAACCGGGGAAGAGATGCCTCTCAAAGTAGAGTTAACCTTAGTGATGTGGATGGAGTAAAGCCTTTGGGACCGTCATTTCCTGATGTGGCATGACTCAACATGAGAAGAAACAGCTATAAACATCCATCAATAATCAGAATTTGGAATGTACAAAGTATGAACCTAGGAAATTGGAAGTCATCAAAAATGAAATAGACCACATAAAGATCAATATCCTAGGCATTAGTGAGCTGAAATGGCCTAGTATTGGCTATTTTGAATCGGACAATCGTATGTTCTACTATGCTGGGAATGACAAATTGAATAGGAATGGCATCACGTTCACTGTCAAAAAGAACATTTCAATATCTATCCCGAAGTACAACGCCGTCAGTGATAGGATAATATCCATATGCCTACAAGGAAGACCAGTTAATATGACTATTATTCAAATGTATGCACCAACCACTAATGCCAAAGATGAAGAATTTGAAGATTTTTACCAACTACTACAGTCTGAAATTGATCAAACATACAATCAAGATGCATTGATAATTACTGGTGATTGGAATGTAAAAGTCGGAAGCAAAGAAGAAGGATCTGTAGTTGGAAAAGATGGCCTTGGTGATAGAAATGATGCCAGAGATCCTATGATAGAATTTTGCAAGACTAATGACTTCTTCATTACAAATACCTTTTTTCAACAACATAAGTGGCTACTATACACATGGACCTCACAAGATGGAATACACAGGAATGAAATCAACTACATCTATGGAAAGAGATGATGGAAAAAATATCATCAGTCGGAACAAGGACAGGGCCAACTGCAGAACAGACCATAAATTGCTCATATGCAAGTTCAAATTGAAGCTGAAGAAAATTAAAACAAGTCCATGAGAGCCAAAATATGACCTTGAGTATATCCCACCTGAATTTAGAGACCATCCCAGGAATAGATTTGAGGCACTGAACACTAATGACTGAAGACCAGAGAAATTGTGGCATGACATTAAGGACATTATACATGAAGAAAGCAAAAGACAGGGAAGAAAGAGAAGAAAAGACCAAAATGGATGTCAGAAGAGACTCTGAAACTAGTTCTTGAACACACAGCAGCTGAAGCGAATGGAAGAAATGATAAAGTAAAAGAGCTGAACAGAAGATTTCAAAGGGTGGCTCAAGAAACAAAGTAAAGTATTGTACTGAAATGTACAAGGACCCTAGAGATAGAAAACCAAAAGGGAAGAACAAGCTCGGCATTTCTCAAGCTGAAAGAACTGAAGAAAAAATCCGAGCCTTGAGTTGCAATACTGAAGGATTCTATAGGCAAAATATTGAATGATGCAGAAAGCATCAAAAGAAGATGGAAGGAATACACAGAGTCACTGTACCGAAAAGAATTAGTCAGTGTTCAATCATTTCAGGAAGTAGCAAATGATCAAGAGCCAATGGTATTGAAGGAAGAAGCCTAAGCTGCAATGAAAGCATTGGCAAAAAGCAAGGCTCCAGGAATTGGTGGAATACCAACTGAGATGTTTCAACAGATGGATGCAGGGTTAGGGGTGCTCACTCGTCTATGCCAAGAAATTTGGAGGACAGCTACCTGGCCAACCAACTGGAAGAGATCCATATTTATGCCCATTCCAAAGAAAGATGATCCAATAAGAATGAGGAAATTATTGAACAACATCATTAATATCACATGCAAGTAAAATATTGCTGAAGATCATTCAAAAGCGTTTGCAGCAGTACATCGATGGAGAACTGCCAGAAATTCAAGCCAGATTCAGAAGAGGATGTGGAACAAGGGATATCATCGCTGATGTCAGACTGATCTTGGCTGAAAGCAGAGAATACCAGAAAGATGTTTACCTGTGTTTTATTGATTATGCAAAGGTTTTCAACTGTGTGGATCATAATAAATTATGGATAACATTACAAAGAATGGAAATTCCAGAACGCTTCATTGTGCCCATGAGGAACCTGTACATAGACCAAGAGGCACTCATTCAAACAGAACGAGGGTATACTGAGTGGTTTAAAGTCAGGAAAGGTGTGCGTAAGAGTAGTATCATTTCACCACACTGTTCAGTCTGTATGCCAAGCAAATAATCCAAGAAGCTGGACTACTGAAGAAGAATGAGGCATCAGGACTGGAGGAAGTCTCATAAACAACCTGGTATATGCGGATGACACAACCTTGCTTGCTGAAAGTGAAGAGGACTTCAAGCACTTACTGATGAAGATCAAAGACTACAGCCTTCCATATGGATTACACCTCAACATGAAGAAAACAAAAATCCTCACAACTGGACCAGTAAGCAACATCATGATAAACAGAGAAAACAAAGATGTTGTCAAGGATTTAACTTTACTTGGATCCACAATCCATGTCCATGGGAGCAGCGATTAAGAAATCAAAGACGTATTACATAGGGCAAATGTGCTGCAAAAGACCTCTTTCAAGTGTTTAAAGCAAAAGTATCATCTTGAGGACTAAGATGCACCATGGCATTTTTAATTGCCTTGTACCCAATGTGAAAGCTGGACAATGAATAAGGAAGACCGAAGAAGAATTGACGCCTTTGAATTATGGTGTTGGCAAAGAATACTGAATACACCATGGACTGCCTGAAGAACAAACAAATCTGTGTTGGAAGAAGTACAGCCAGAATGCTCCTTAGAAGCAAGAATGGCAAGACTTCATCTCACATACTTTGGACATGTTATCAGAAGGGACCAGTCCCTGGAGAAGGACATCATGCTTGGTAAAGCAGAGGGTCAGCAAAAGAGAGGAAGACCCTCAATGAGATGAATTGACATAATGGCTGCAACAATGGGCTCAAGCATAACAACGATTGTGAGGATGGCTCTGGACTGGGAGTGTTTTGTTCTGTTGTACATAAAGTTGCTATGAGTTGGAACCAACTTGATGGCACCTAACAACAACAACATGTGACCCAAGCTCTGCCAATCAGATATACCCATGAGAAGCTTCAGTTCAGAAAAAGGAAGCACTGAAAACTATTCTTGTGAGGGTGATGGAATATATATCCAGTTTTGAAGGCCAGCAGTGGCAAAAGTATTAGAAATATTGTCCTCTGGTCAGCATCAAAGTTATAAACCGTTGTCCGTGACAGTAGCATGGACCCCAGTGAAACAATCTGGGGCTGTAATGGGGGCTAATCCTGACTAGATAGCTTTCAAGCCAGATTCTCTTTCTAGCCGTACTAGAGATTTTGTGAGTATGAGCTACCAAATGGCCTTTAGTGAATGCATTTTCTGGTTTAAATAGCTAAAATAATTGTCAGCAAAACAAACATATGATCTAGTCATGTTTTGTTAAAATACCATTTTTATTTTATATTTCTTTTACAGTCAAGCAAATTTGATCAAACTTTCTTCATAAATTTCCAGTCAGTGAAATGGAATCCCTAATGTTGGTGTAGTGGTTCTAAATAAGCATTAAGAATTTAGGTGATATTGTCACATTAAAATATTGAAACAAGGTAAGAAGGATTTATCAAAGATTCTGGTCACTAGACTACACAGGAGATTCCCAAAAGTAATGTTATTAGTTGCCATGGAGTCCATTCTGACTCATGTCAATCCCATGTGTGCAGATAGAACTGCACATAGGGTTTTCAAAGCTGTGACCTTTCAGAAGCAGATAGCTAGGCCTATCTTCTAAGGTGCCTCTGGGTGAGTTCGAACTGCCAACCTTCAGCTAGTAGTCAAGCACTTAACTCTTTATGCTACCCAAGTAGCATAAGTAATTACCACAAGTAATTTTAATATACATATTTACTAAACAATAGTAGATATTTTTATTACCATTTGAGAAACTGCTGTCTTTGGTGAATTAATGTTGATTATCTTCGCATTTGACTTTTTCAGTTCATCCTCAAAGCACAAGGGGAGCAAGGCTTTCTTTCTTACTGAACAATGCTCAGTTAACTGATCATTTCTGGTTGATTTACTTTCTTTTATATTAAAATCATTCATCTGTGGGGGAGATGTTTTTCTGAAAATGAACACAAGTTCAGCATAAATGTTTGTTTTTTTTTTTAATAAATTTTATTTATTTATTGTTGTTGGGAATATACACAGCAAAACATACACCAACGTTTCTACATGTACAATTCAGTGACATTGATTACATTCTTCAGGTTATCAGCATAAATGCTTTTAGGGTTATTTTTAGCTTATAGGTTCTTGCCTGTTTCCTCTGATCTCTAGCAGTCATTGACAACACCTCCACCACAGACTGTCAGCCTGACAAGACCATCCCTTCCTGCTTAGTTTTTGGGGACAATAGCAAAATCAGGGGTGGGAGCAGGACAGACATGTGTGTGTCATTGGCTTTTTAGTGGGGAGGAGGTGTATTATACAGGCTGAGGGGAACACCACAGGTAGAGAGGTATTTGCCACCTCCCGTGTTGAGATGCTGGGAGAAAACTGCTTTCAGGACAACTCCTTACCAACAAAGAATGGACCTAACTTAGTAAAGCGGATGGAATGGTATGGTCAGGCAGAGAGAGGATATAGTTTTCATTCCAGGTCTCCTTTGAATCACATGTGACAAGGATACTGACTTTGGGTTTGCTAAGGTAATTGCCACTGCAGAGTTGAGGTAATCCATAGCAAAGGCTTGGGGTGGGTGAGGTATGGACAGCCTAGTCCAAGGAAAAATGAAGGACATGACAGCAACTCCTAGGGTTCTACCATACCAAAGAGAGTTGAGTGTGGATCCTATCTAAGTTCAGAGAGTTTAGACCATGAGATAACAAACCACAGATGTCAGCAGCCAAAGAACTTCTGGGGATGGGACCTGTGGTATGAGACCCTGGACCTTTGGTCGAGTCCCTTTTCCTTAATGTCATAAGTTCCAGTGAGCTCCTTACTCATATTCTCAGGTACCATCTTGGAAAGAAATAGAGGGACTGTGTTAAACCTAAAGAGGCTGTACATTATTTGTTCCCAAAAAGGCTTAAAACACTCTGAGTTAATTACATATGTTTATTTTTATTCACAGAGACTGAGAGGCTCATGAGAAAGAACAGAACTTTATACAGAAGAAGCTATTTTTTTCACTTCCATGTTATAGCGCAACTAAATTTGAGTTCCTACTGAAGAAATGTGATTGTATCCTCATTTATTTTTTCCATGTCTTTCTATCCATTAAACTGTGAACTTGTAGTAGGTAGAGCATGTGCTTAAGGTCTGGATGTAATACCAGCTAGCCAAGCAGCCTTGGGCCATTCATAGGATTGTTGTATGGGACTAAACGGTAAAAATAAGCCATGATCAATTCATTCTGGTCCACTCGAAAATAAAAAGCAGAACTAATCTTATTAGAAACATTATTGAACAGAATAAAATACTAAAAAGTGTTTTAAAATTACCTTTTATTTACATAATCTTCTAAGCCAACAGAATCAAATGCCACTGTAGGTTTATTTTTGGCTGGAGCTGAAATTATAAAAGGTTTTCATAAAACAGACATACATACTATGTTATTTAGAAAATATCTTGCATAAAATATATTAGAATTTAAAATGGTATATGGAAAGCACCTAGTATATAGTGCCTGACCCACTGTAGATACTCCATAAATACTTGTTGAGTGAACAAAATAGAACTGGAAAAGACAGATGAAGGCTTAGATCAAATACAAAACTATTTGGAGGGGTGTGTGTGTGTGTGTGTGTGTGTGTGTGTGTAGAAAGGCATTCTAGAATTTTCATATCTTTCTAATATGTGAAGTCACTCTTAACCAGTAGGATGCCTCAGATGGTTAAACACTTTGATATGGGGAGGGAGGTCAGTTAGCAGGTGTGAAAGATCTTGCCAACAGGGATGAAGGAAGTGTACCAAGTAAAGTCTTCCAAATATGTCTGGTGGCTACTCTCCTGTTTCAAAAGTATTCCCAGACACATGTTTTTAGCAACAAATTCAGCTTTTTCCTTGGCCTCAAGTAGCTTACATTCTAATGCAGTGCTTCCCAAACTTTTCACATCATGGCAAATGTTACAATCATTTGTACAGCACATGGTATAAAGGCTTGAGTTTTACTTGTGGTCATGCTGCTACGTGGCCACCCAGCAGTCTCAAAGACCTGAGGATCAAATTTCAGCATATCTATAACCCCTTCAGTGCACACCAGTTTTCCACAGTATACTGACTGGGAAGCTCTTTTCTAGAGAGAAGGGACAGTCAGTAAACAAGCAAACCAACCAACAAATAAATATGTAAAATAATTTTAGCTACTTGTAAGGATTATTAAAAAAGAAAAAAAAGAAAAACAGTTGTCGTCGAATCGATTCCGACTCATAGTGACCCTATAGGACGAGAAGAACTGCCCCATGGAGTTTCCAAGGAGCACCTGGGAGATTTGAACTGCCAACCTTTTGGTTAGCAGCCGTAGCTCTTTACCACTACACCACCAGGATTTCTGTATTATGGAAGAATATAAAACAAGGTACTTTAACTAGAATGGCTATAGATGGCTCTCTCCAGAGAGAATATTCGAGCTGAAATCTGAGTAAGACCTAGCTCCTCCAAGTTAGGAGGCTTCCCCCCTAACTCTGAGCACATTTGAAGCAATGATAGGAAGCAAGGGAAAGAAATTAGGCGTGGCTATTCCATTTCTCTCAAAAGATGGCTGACACAGACTTGGAATGCTTTGACCTGCAACTCATTACAGGATAGCTATGAGTTGGAATCTATTCAACGGCAATTTTTTTTTTTTTTAAGTTGTGTGGGTGGAAGGCGGGGTAGGGCTGGAGGGCATGGTTAATGGGGGTATTTTCAGTATATCTTCCACTGGCTCTTTCAATACTGTTCCACTCTCCCAGGAAATGGAATTGTGCATTGACTTCTGGAGTTTTCTTTCAGATTGCTTCATATTGTAATATGTGGCAAATTTTCCTTGTATTTGGAATGAAATCGACTAGTTTCAATTTAATAAAATTTTCTTCTCTATTTTGCTTCTTTTTGTTATTCATTTTTGACCAGGATAAACCTGCATTTATGCTGCCAACTTTCCCAGAAGACTTCCTTTGGGGACTTTAATAAAAGATCTATAATGCCTTTTCTGTAAAGAGACTCAAGAATTCTAGTAAACAGACCAGACTTAATGGTTTGATTGAGACTGGAGGGACCCCGAAAGACATGGCCCCTGGACTCTCTGTTAGCCCAAAACTAAAACCATTCCCTAGACTGACTCTTCAGACAAAGATTAGACCGGACTAGGGGACATCAGAGGGTGATTCTTAGCTCAAGTAGATACATAAGACTAAGTGGGCAGCTCCTGTCCGGAGGCAAGATGAGAAGGCAGAGAGGGTCGGGAGCTGGTTGCATGGACACGGGAAATCCAGGGTGGAAAGGAGGAGTGTGCTATCACAGTACAGGAAGAACAACTAGGGTCACATAACAATGTACATAAAAATTTTTGTATGAGAGACTAACTTGAATTGTAAACTTTCACTTAAAGCACAACAATTAAAAAGAAAAAAGAGACTCAAGAAATCTTACAAAGGGGGAATTCACTTTTCTGAAAAAGCAGAATGGCCTGCCACAGCTCTCAGGGAACATTTCAGAGAAAATGTAGCATTGGCATCTGAGCAGAACCTTGAAGGACAACTTGGTAAACAGGGGGTTGCCTACTTAACATCCGTTCTCTCCCCTTCTTTGCTAACGAACCCCAATCTTATTCATGTTTCTCCAAGCAACCTTGTCCTTCAGGGGAGCCTGGGCCCCTTCCTAGCTCAAGGGAGTAAATAAGCCAAGAAACCAAATGCACTGCCATCGAATTGATTCCAACTCATAGCGACCCCATAGGGTTTCCAAGGCAGTCACATCTTTCTCCTGCAGAGTAGCTGGTAGTTTCAAACTGCCCAAATTTCAGTTAGCAGTCCATAGCTTTAACCAGTGCACCTCCAGGGCTCCTTAAGGGAGTAAATAGTGAATGATTTAAGCCTTTGTTTCTCAAACTGTGAGTTAAAACCTATTCATGTTTGTGACATAGATTTAGTGTCTCCTGACCAACTGTGATGGTTAATTTTATATGTCAACTTGGCTAGGCTTGGAATGCTATGGTGTCCAGTTATCTGGTAAAACACTAGTTTAGTTGTTGTTATAAAGTATTTGCATATGATTAAATCAATTGGCCTCAAGAAAAGCAGATTACATTCCATGGTGTGAGTGGGCTTCAGTCAATCAGTTCAAGGCCTTAAGAGAAAAAAGGGAGTTTCCCTAGGGTATGCTCTGCCTTGAGACTACAAACAGACATTTTGCTAGAACGCTCTTACTCTTCATTCTTCTTGTCACCTGACCTATGGATTTTGGGACATAAGCCCACAAGAGTCTCTGGCCTGTCATTCGATCTATGGTTCTTGGACTTGTCAGCCCCTTCCCCTTGCCCCAACAATCGCATGAGCCAACTTCTTGAAGTAAATCTCTCTCTCTCTCTAGCACTGGTTTTGTTTCCCTAGACAACCCTGACTAAGACGCTAGCATTTTAAAAAATAAAATAGAATAGAAAAAAGTAGAGTAGAATAGAAAACCTCAGAGTGCATTTTATGAGTGCTAATAACTATACAAATCACAGAAATACTATGACCAAGTTCAGTTAATAGAGAAGTAATTAGGGCTCCACGAGGCTGAATCTTCAGCTCCATGTATTTGTACACTAGGTTGTGGTATAAAAAGTATTTCTTATTGCAGGTCATGTTAAAAGTTGGAAAAACTGAACGAAGCCAATTATGATTTATTGGTTAAGATATAGGCACATGAAGCTATTCTAGCCAAGGACCCATAAAGTGATGTCAGCTGGAAGGGCTTTTGAGGACATTTTTCTCATTCTTATAAAAGGGCAAAGGAGTGGATGTTGTTGCCCACACAAGTTACCACAAATAGTAGTCATCATGTTAGACAGCAAGGCTAGGAGGACAGGCTATGTGCTAAGACCTTTGAGGAAAGAAACTGGATATTTGCTAACATTATTAAGCCCCTAAATTAACCAGCCCTGGAACTGCCTTACTGATGGACTTCTTGCTATTTGAGATAATAAATACCCTTACTATTTAAGCCCCAGGTAGTTGAATTTTCTATTAATAGCATCCAAAACCTGCCAGCTATTAGAGGTGAATAGGAATCTCTCAGGTGGAGAAGTATGCTCTGAGCATAGAGAACAGAATAGATCAAATCACACAGTAGTTGGAAGAGTCTGTTCAGTATGACTAGAATCAGGGTGGATGGGTTAAAGAGATAGAACAGAAGGCTGGAAAGACTGTATATGCCATATTAAGAATTTACCTTTTTTAGCAATAGAGTCTTCAGATGTTACTGAGTAGTGAAATAATAAATTAACATGATCAGATATTGATATTCCTTGGTTAAAGATTTTTTTTAATGATTTTTTTTAATGCTTATATCCTAAATTAAGGAGCCCTGGTGGCACATCGGTGAAGTGCTAGCTTATAACTGAAAGGTTGGTGGTTCAAACCTGCCCAGCAGCTCCATGGGAGGAAGACCTGGCGATCAGCTCCTGTAAAGATTACAGCCTAGGAAACCCTATGAGACAGCTCTACTCTATCATATAGTGTCTCTATGAGTCAGAATCAACTTGACGGCTCCTAAAAACAACAACAACATATCCTAAATTTAGATGTAGTTAACTTTCAGACATTTTAACATAAACATGCAATTTGTATACCTCTAAATAAAGTAGAGTCTCTTTCTTTTTTATAAGCATTAGATCGAATGCTGAGTACAGGAGAAAAGATTGAAGAACCAAATGGTTTTCTATATGCTGGCCCATTGTATGAATACAGTTCATGTGAACGATTTTCCACCTAAACATCAGGAAAAATGGAAAACTATCTTACAAATTATTTCTTTCCATGTGCATATTGATAAATATTTAGTTTATGCTTGATTGTTCACATTTACAATATTTATGATAACTAACAACTGTCAGGTTTTTAACACACTTTCCAACTTAATGCTTTATTTAATCCTCAGAAAAAGCCTATGAAATAGGTATTATTATTACCACTTTATGGAGAGGAAACAAACTCATAGAAGTTAAAAGATTTGCCTATGCTCATACTTTTTACTTTTATTTCCTTTTTCTAAAACTTAGCAGCCTTTATAGTCATATAAAGTTTATTTCTACAAATGCAGGGAAAGTTTAAAGTTCAAATACTGAACAATAAAAGCCTTCTCAGGTTAAACAGAAACTTTAGTCTCTTTAACATAGAATATAGCTGAATAATTCTGAATAAAGGGGAGGAACTGGAAAAATAATCCAGTTATTCCTAGGTGAGAGTCTCAGTTTATTTCCATATATATTTATTTAAAGACAAATATCAAGACATCCAAAATACACACGTATATATAAGTATTGACTGCATAATTTGTGATTCCCCATTAACACACCAAACAAATATTTGGTTAAACCCATTGCCATCAAGTCAATTCTGACTCATTGCAACCCTACAGGACAGAGTAGGACTGCTCCATAAGATTTCCAGAGAGTGGCTGGTAGATTTGAACTACTGACCTTTTGGTTAGCAGCTGAGCTCTTAACCACTGTGCCAACCAGGGCTCCAAATATTTGTTTAGCACCTATTATTTTCTTGCACTGGGCACAGAATACATTTAATTCTAGATAATATGAGATAAAGAATATGACAAAAATCTAGGCCATAAAAAGCTCACATTCTAATTGGATAAATATGAATGATTAGCATACATGAAATAATAAATATAGTACAGTAATATCACTAAGAACCAAACCAATCAATACAATATAAACAAAGGAGTTTAGAAGTGAGGGATATCAATGAAGTATGAAAAGATAAGTAAGGTTTCATATAGGAGGAAGAACTTAATGCTAGGATTTGGAGATGAAAGCATATTAGCAGAGGTCAACAACATAAGCCTAGAGTGTTCACAGGTTAGGAAAATTAAGTATTTAGAACAGCGATGTACGTCCAGTGTGTACATGGAGAATGATCCATGTGCACTGGAGAAGAATGTGCATTGTGCTATTATTGGATAGCATATTCTATATTATGTCTGTTAGGTCTAGTTGGTTTATAGTGTTATTCAAATCCTTTATTTCTTTATTGATCTTCTTTCTCAGTGTTCTGCCTATTATTGAAAGTAGTGTATTGAAGTCTCCAAGTATTGTTGAATTGTCTATTTCTCCCTTCAATTCTGTCAGTGTTTTTTCATATATTTTGGGGCTCTGATGTTAGGTACATACATATTTATAATTGTTATATCCTCTTGATAAGTTGGCCCTTTTATCATTATATAATGCCCTTCTTTGTCTTTTATAACAGATTTTGACTAAAGGTCTATTTTGTCTGATGTTAGTATAGCCACCCCATCTCTCTTTTGGTTACTATTTGAATGGAATATTTTTTCCCATCCTTTCACTTTCGACCTATTTGTATGTTTGGGTCTAAGATATATCTCATAGATATCAAATAGATGGGTCATGTTGTTTTATCCATTCTGCCACTCTCTGCCTTTTGATTGGAGAGTTTAATCCATTTACATTTAAGGTAATTACCGATAAGGAAGGATTTACTTCTGCCGTTACGCTATTTGCTTCTCATGTGTCTTATACCGTTTTTGTCCCTCATTTTCTCCAATAATGCCACATTTCTGTTTAGTTGATCTTTTGTAGTGAGCCATTTTGATTCCCTCCTTCTTCCCTTTTGTGTATATTTTTAAGATATTTTCTTTTTGGTTACCATAAAGATTACATTTAGCTTCTTAAATTTATAACAACCTAGTTTAAACCGATACAAATTTAACTTTGGAAACATACAAAAACTCTATACCTCTACTGCTCCTCCTCCCCTTTATGTAGTTATCATAGTTACGTCTTTACACATTATGTGTCCAATAGCACTTCTAAACTCATCCATGTTTATAGATTGTATTGATTGGTTTGGTTCTTACTCACTGTACTACTTTATTATTATTTCATATGTGCTAATCATATTTATCCTGCGAGCTCTTTATGGCCTAAATTTTTATCATATCCTTTATTTTATCTCCTATCATCTATATAAAAATGTTTTATATATTTGTCTTTTGGACTCATGTAGGATATAACTACTAAAGTTACAAACCAAAAACACCATAAAACTGTCAGAGCAGGAGGATGGAGAAGTGAGATGTGGGAGTCCACGTGGAGGCCTGGAGCACAGCCAGGTGATGGTGGGCCCCTGCTCCTCTGAAGGCAGCCGGATAGCCCCAACCACCACTACCACCACTACCACCACCTCCAATCCCTTCAGGCTCCATGGTGGTAGAGAATGTATGGTGGGGAAGGGAGGCCCCTTGCACCACGTGCATCCTTGAGATTTGCCTGGGGTGCCCCACAGGTGGTGGTGGGGGGGGAAGGGCAAGAGGAAAAAGGGGAAGAAGGAGAGAAAGGGGGGAGGGGAGGAACACTGGCACCAAAGACTCTTGTGTAAGGTGGATTTTCACATAAGGACTGGGTTTTTGGAACCTAACCATGTTGGTGAGGAGTGTGTGTACTGAAATATGGCCAACAAAGAATGTATTATTTTCTCTATTCTCCCCATGCATAAAAGTTTTATATAAATGATATCAAAGAAGAAATCACTTAAAATTTTTATGCCTTTGCATCCTAAAATATATTTGATTTAAGGATTTGTAGAAGTATAAATAACGTTATTAGGGCTAACCTTAATTTCTATTAAGTAATTATAAGCATACAAATTTAACCTACCTCAGATGTATCCTTAAGAAAAAGAAAAGGCCTAATAGATCTTGATTTTAGATTTTCTTTTACAGGTTGTAGTCTCTCTAAAGAAACAAATTAAAAAATAAAAGATATTTTAATACTATTAAGCTACTTCTAATTAAACTCAATGAACCATTTTCTCTACAAGTAGTACAAGTTTTATAAATGTAGTTTGATGTTAATATTATTTGTTTACACAGGCATTAATTTTACTTTTTAAAAGCTAAATCTACTCTAGAATAATTTGCTTTAAAAGTGGATTTCTATTAACAGAATATAACTTTCAATTGTTTATTATTATACAATAAAGCTGAAACTCCTTGGGAAAAAATGGATTTCTAAATAAAATAAAATAATACTTGATATTCAAAGAAATCTTTTGGTTAATTTCTTTGAAAAAAGAAAGAATCCTTTCCAGCTGCATTCTGTCATCCCCAGTTGTGAGTTTTATAAATCTGGATAATCACCCATTGGATTTTCTTACAGGAGATACAGTGTAGGTGTTAAACACATAGTCTTTGGATTTAGATAGCCTCAGACAGAATCTTACTTTCATTATCTGTGAGTTATGTAACCTTAGGAAAGTTACTTAGAGCCTTAGTTTCCTCATCTGTTATGTGGAAATAATAGTATTTATCATACAGGGTTGCTGTGAGGTTTAAATGAGATAACAGATGTAACAAACGTAACAGTGCATCTAGTATTCATTCAGTTAACATTATTTGTTGATCATGTACTATATGCTAATACTGGTGCTCGACTCTGGAATTGTTATTCTTGCCGAATGATGCTTCCATTTTAGTGGGTAAGACAGAAAATAAAAATGTAAAGAAACAAAGGAGTGAATAATTATAAATTGAGATAGATGCTGTGCAGAAATAAACAGATTTTGGGGAAGGAGAATAATAGAGGGAGGTGACTACATTAACTGAAACATGTAAATGAGGAATAAGCAGTGGGAATACAGGGCATGAATATGTTCTACGCAGAAAGGAAATCAGACAGTTGTATTGAAAGAAAGTTAGTGAAGATATAGTGTAAGTGGAAGGCAGAGAGGCAGGGGATGAGATTAAATATGTAAACAAGGTCAGATCACACTTGATGTTGTTAAGGAGTGTAGGTTTCATACTAAGTGCAGTGGGAAGTCATTTAAAGAAGCTTTAATCAGGAGATAATCAACCTACTTTAAAAAAATCACTATAATTTTAGAAAAGAAAATGAATGTGAAATTTCTGTTGCCGTTATAGAAGACCAGGTAATTAGTACCAGCCCTCCTGCTGAAGGCAACTAAAAAGCTCGGGTGAAATAATTTTATAGACCTTTAATAGCATCAAAGGGCTGAAAAATGGTAAGAGACTTCTGGTCCTAAATCTAAGAAAAGATAAGAACTCAGACTGTAAACCCAGCGTGCAAAGCTACCTGTTCCCTAATGATATGTGTGATGTGAAAATAAGCTCAATGTTATGGATTGAACTGTGTCCTCCAGAAATATGTGTTGTAAATCCTAACCCCGATACTTGTGGATAGGTGCCCTGATGGCAAAATGACGAAGCACTTGGCTGCTAACCAAAAGGCTGGCTGTTTGAATTTACCCAGTGGCTCCACAGGAGAAAGAGTTGGCAATCTGCTCCTGTAAAGATTACAGCCTAGAGAACTCTCACGGGGGCAGTTCTACTCTGTCACATGGGGTTGCTGTGAGTAGAAAATGGACTTGACCTTATGATACCTAACAACAACAACATACTTGTGGATGTAATTCCATTTAGAAATAGAGTTTTCCAAAAAAATATTGAGGGTTTAGCAACAGCACATGATTAGGTGTTGGCCTTAGAGCAAGTCTGAGCAGGTAGCAAATGGAGGAAAATGTATCTCAAGTTCCAAATTACCTGGCAAAAAGTAGACAAAAAACCTTCTAATTAAGAGAGAAGAACAGAATGCAGAACAGACAACTGGATTCATCACACCAAATTGTCAGTGGGAAGCATCTACAATCAAGTACTGGCTCCCGACCTCAAGCTCTGTAATTAGCCTGTGGCCTGACAAATCCAGAATTCTTCTGCTAATGTACTTCATTTTAAAATAAAAGTAGAAATCTGAGTTTAGCAAGAAGCATTAAGGACAGGTAAGATTTAGTTTCTTCAGACCTTAAGCTCAAATTCTGGTGGCCAACTCAGAAAGAATGAAGGGCTGGTGAATGATTTGAAGCAGTTGGAATCAATAACTTTCAAGCTCCACATTCTGGAGGTAAGAGGAGTGTTATGGATTGAACTGTGTCCCCACAAAAAAAGTTGAAGTCCTAACCCCGAGTACCTGTTAAGTAAACTTATTTGCAAATAGAGTCGTTGAAGATGTTATCAGTTAACATAAGGTCATACTGGAGTAGGATGGGCCCTAATCCAATATGAATGGCATACTTATAAAAGAGAAGAGTCACAGAGAGACATAAAAAGGGAAAATGGCCACATGAAGATGGCGGCAGAGATGGAACAAGCCAAGAAACATCTGGGGTTACTAGAAGCTGGGAAAGACAAGAAAGGATCTTCCCCTAGGGCCTTCAGAGAGAGCATGGCCCTGAGGACCCTGAATTTGGGCTTCTAATCTCCAGAACTGTGAGACAATAAATGTCTGCTGTTTTAAATTAAAAAAAAAAAAGAAGTAAGAGTTTTCTTTGTTACATTAATGAGGCCATATCAGTGTAGGGTATGTTTTAAGTCAATCACTTCTGAGATACAAAAAGAGCAGGCTAGGCACAGAAGCGAGGAAGCATTGATGTCACCTCTAGATGACCAAGGAGGTGAAGAAGAGAAACTGAAACAGACAAGGATTTTTTTTCCCCAGAGCAGATAGAGAGAGCCTTCCTCTAGAGCCAGTGCACCAAATTTGGACTTCTAGCCTCCAAAAATGTGAGAAAATAAATTTCTGTTCATTAAAGCCACCTACTTGTGGTATTTCTGTTATGGAAGCATTAAGAAACTAAGTCACTCAGGTTTTAAGCAGCCTCATGGATTGAGAGAAACACAAAAATAAAAAGGTGTAATGTTCAATATGCCCCCCTCCCCACACACACTTACACACTCACTCACTTTAATTTGAGATACCAAAGAGTTACAATCTTAGGGTGAAAGGAAACCAGAAGTAAATCAGCTTGCATGTAGATCCCACATGATCCAGGGAAATAAAAGCCTTGAATTTGGGCTAAGGTATGCTTTGAGAAGCACTGCCCCCAGAGGCCTAGCAGAAACAAGTAAAAAATGGCTGGAGTAAAGTACCATCACCCTAGTCTTCAAATTGCTCCTACAAATAATTGTTCAAATAGGGTCCAGTACACATTCACTTACTTGAAGCGCTTACTGATGAAGATCAAAGACCACAGCCTTCAGTATGGATTACGCCTCAACATAAAGAAAACAAAAATCCTCACAACTGGACCAATAAGCAACATCATGATAAACAGAAAAAAAGACTGAAGTTGTCAAGGATTTCATTTTACTTGGATCCACAATCAGCACTCAAGGAAGCAGCACTCAAGAAATCAAACGATGTACTGCGTTGGGCAAATCTGCTGCAAAAGACCTCTTTGAAGTGTTTAAAAGCAAAGATGTCACCTTGAGGACTAAGGTGTGCCTAATCCAAGCCATGGTGTTTTCAATTGCTTCATATGCGTGCAAAAGCTGGACAATGAATAAGGAAGACCAAAGAAGAATTGACGCCTTTGAATTGTGGTGTTGGCAAAGAATATTGAATATACCATGGACTGCCAGAAGAACCAACAAATCTGTCTTGGAAGAAGTACAACCAGAATGCTCCGTAGAAGCAAGGATGGCGAGACTATGTCTCACATACTTTGGACATGTTATCAGGAGGGACCAGTCCATGGAGAAGGATATCATGCCTGGTAGAGTAGAGAGTCAACGAAAAAGAGGAAGACCTTCAACGAGATGGATTGACACAGTGGCTGCAAAAATGGGCTCAAGCATAACAACGATTGAGAGGATGGCGCAGGATCAGGTAGTGTTTTGTTCTTGTTGTACATAGGGTCGCTATGAGTAGGAACTGACTCGACGACACCTAACAACAGCAACAACACACATTCAAAGATCATAAGGCACATGAGGAAATATGACATTATAAAAGAAAACAATCAGAAATAACAGCCAATACAGACCCACAAAGATTTTTGATATTACAATTGCCAGGCACAGAATAAAAGATATGTTTGCCTGCTATGTTTAATGAAGTAAGAGACAAGCTTGAAAATATCAGAAGAGAATTAAAAAAAAATAAAAGTGACAAAGTAGATTGAAAAAGATGCATTCTTAATTCTTTCTTCTGACCTATAGTCTAGTTTTCTATTTCTTTCTTTCACCTTAAACAGCAGATTTGATAACAGTTTACCAGCTACTGTTGAGTCAACACCAACTCATGATGACCCCATGTGTGTCAGAGAAGACTTGTGCTTCATAGGGTTTTCAATGGCTGATTTTTTAGAAGTAGATCACCAGGTCTTTCTTCTGAGGCATCTTCTGTGGCCTTGAAGCTCCAACCTTTTGGCTAGATCTCAGAGTGTTAACTATTTGTACCACTGACAGACTCCCAGATTTGACACAGTATAAGAAAAAAATAATAGAAATTTAGAATATAAACCAGAAGAAAGACTTTTGAATGCATCAGATAAAGACAAAAAGAGAAAAAATGCAGAGGAGAGAGCAAAAGAAACAGAGGACCTAGTAAAGTTTTATCAGTATTCCAAATGGGTAGGATAAAGATAAAAGATAGAGGCATTTTTAAAGAGCTATGACTGAGAATTTTCCAGAACATATGAAAGTTACCAATTCACAGATTTAAGAATGTAATGAATCCTAGGCAGGATAAAATAAAAATAAATTCACCCTTAAACATATAAAAATGCAAAAATAAAAAAAAGAAAATCTTAAAAGCAGACAGAAAAGATTGCTTTAAAAAAGTGACAATTAAACCAACTTATCAATGGCAACAATGGAAGCCAGAAGATAGTAGAAGAATATTTTCAATGTGCTAGGAAAAAAAACACACACACACAAAAAAAACCTACCATCCTAGAATTCTATATTTGATAAAATATTCTTCCAGAATGAAGGTGAAATAAAGAATTTTTGGACAAACAGTCCCAAAAGCTGACCACAATAAGATATGCACTAAAGGAAATTCTAAAGAAGGTACTTAAGGCAGAAGAAAAACGATGTCAGATGTAAAGACAGAGAAGTAAAAACTTAAATGAACATAGGTTGTATAAAGAAAGTAATGTTTGTTTAAATGATATGGTATTAAAATACTAATATGTAGTATAATATAATGATATAGTATAAAATACGTAGGAAAAGCACAACACTAATAACATAAAAGGAGTGAAAAATAATTGAAGAGTTCTAAGATCCTTTATTGTCCAGGACGAGGGTGATATTAAATTTTGATAGGATGCATATTATAATTTATAGGCTATTAATGTAAATAATAGAAACAGAGTATATAATTTCCAAACTAATAAAGGAAAAAAGTGAAATAAGAAAATGAATCCTAAAGAAGGCAAGAGAACAGAGAAAAAGAAGCATCAAATGTGCATTACCAATATAGACAACAAAATAAGATGGAAGATTTCAATCCAAAGGTATCAGTAATTACATTAAAGTATAAATGGCATAAATGCTCCATTTCAAAGACAAATATTATCAGATTGGATTCTTAAAATCTAACCATATACCTGTGTTTTATTGACTATGCAAAGACATGTGACTGCGTGGATCATAACAAATTATGGATAACATTGTGGAGAATGGGAATTCCAGAGCACTTAATTGTACTCACGAGGAACCTGGACACAGATAAAGAGGCACTCGTTCGAACAGAAAAAGGGTATACTGCGTGGTTTAAAGTCAGGAAAGCTGTGTGTCAGGGTTGTATCCTTTCACCATACCTATTCAACCCGTATACTTAGCAAATATCCAAGAAGCTGGATTCTATGAAGAAGAATGGGGCATCAAGATTGGAGGAAGATGCATTAACAACCTATGTTATGCAGATGACACAGCCTTGCTTGCTGAGAGTGAACAGGACTTGAAGCACTTACTGATGAAGATCAAAGACCATAGCCTTCAGTATGGATTACGCCTCAACATAAAGAAAATAAAAATCCTCACAACTGGACCAATGAGCAACATCATGATAAATGGAGAAAATATTGAAGTTGTCAAGGATTTCATTTTACTTGGATCCACAATCAACACCCAAGGAAGCAGCAGTCAAGAAATCAAAAGACGCATTGCATTGGGCAAGTCTGCTGCAAAAGACCTCTTTAAAGTGTTGAAAAGCAAAGATGTGATCTTGAAGACTAAGTTGTGCCTGACTCAAGCCATGGTATTTTCAATTGCCTCATATGCATGCCAAAGCTGGGCAATGAATAAGGAAGACCGAAGAAGAATTGACTCCTTTGAATTGTGTTGGCAAAGAATAGTGAATATACCATGGACTGCCAAAAGAACGAACAAATCTGTCTTGGAAGAAGTACAACCAGAATGTTCCTTAGAAGCAAGGATGGCGAGACTACGTCTCACATACTTTGGACGTGTTATCAGGAGGGATCAGTCCCTGGAGAAGGACATCATGCTTGGTAGAGTAGAGGGTTGGTGAAAAAGAGGAAGACCTTCAACAAGATGGACTGACACAGTGGCTGCAAAAATGGGTTCAAGCACAACAACGATTGTGAGGATGGCGCAGGACCGGAGAGTGTTTTGTTCCATTGTACATAGGGTCACTATGAGTAGGAACTGACTCGAGGGCACCTGACAACAACAGCAACCATATGATGCTTACATTAGATAAATCTAGATTATAATGTTGCAGGGAGTTGGTAGTAAAATGATGGAAATAGATATATTACGCAAAAGTTAGCCAGAAGAAAGTTGGTTCTTTGAAAAGATCAACAAAATTGACAAACCTTTAGTTAGGTTTGCCTAGAAAAAAAGAGAGAAAACTCAATTTACTAAAATCAGAAAGTACAAATCAGTACAAATAAGAAATCTGACCCTACTGACATAAAAAGGATTATAAAGGAATGCTATGAGCATCGTACACTTTTATGGATTGAATTGTGACCCCCAAAATGTGTATCAACTTGTCTAGGCCATGATTCCCAGTACTGTGTGGTTGTCCACCATCTTACGATTTGATGTGATTATCCTATATGTTGATATCTGATGTGATTATCCTATCCTAAACTCTATGATGTTAATGAGGCAGGATTAGAGGCAGTTATGTTAATGAGGCAGGACTCAACCTACAGGATTAGGTTATATCTTGAGTTAATCTCTTTCAAAATATAGAAGAGAGAATTGAGCAGAGAGGAGAGGGACCTCATACCACCAAGAAAGAACCACAGGGAACAGAGCACTTCCTTTGGACCTGGGGTCCCTGCACTGAGAAGCTCCTAGACCAGGGGAAGATTTATGAGAAGGACCCTCCCCCAGAACCGACACAGAAAGAAAGCCTTCCTCTGGAGCTGACACCCTGAATGTGGACTTCTGGTCTCCTAGACTGTGAGAGAATAAACTTCTGTTTGTTAAAGCCATCCACTTGTGGTATTTCTGTTATGGCAGCACAAGATAACTAAGACATACACCAACAGACTAGATAATTTAGATGAAACGGACAATTCCTAGAAAGACACAAACTACTGAAACTGACTCAAGAAGAATTAGACAATCTCAATAGACCCACAACAAGTAGAGAAATTCATTAATCAAAAACTATCCACAAGAAAAGCCTAGGTCCATGTGGCTTCTCTGGTGAATTCTACCAACCATCTAAAGAATTAATACTAATTCTTCACAAACTCTTCCAAAAAATAAAAGGGTAGGGAACACTTTCCAGCACATTTTATGAGGCCAGTATTTCCCTGATAAACAAATCCAGATGAAGACGTCATAAGAAAAGAAAACTACATACATCTCTTATGAATATGGACACAAAAACCCTCACCAAAGTACCAACAAACCAAATTCAGCAACTTATAAGATGAATTATACACCATGATCCATGGGATTTAGCTCAGGAATGCAAGGTTGATTCAACATACAAAAATCAATTAATGTAATACATCATAGCAATAGCATAAAAAAACAAAAATCACACCATCATCTCAATAAACACAGAAAAAGCATTTGACAAAATTCAACACCCTTTCAGGATAAAAACACTCAATAAACTAGGAATAGAAGGGAACTTCCTCAACCCAATAAAGGTCATCTACAAAAAAAATCACAGCTAACATCATACTTAATGGTGAAAGATTGTATGCTTTCTGCCTAAGATCAGGAACAAGAAAAATGTCCACTCTCATCACTTCCAGTCAACATTATACTGAAGGTTCTAGCCAGGACAATTAGGCAAAACAAAGAAATAAAAGGCGGAAAAACAGGAGACACGGGCCCCAAAAGCCTAAAGAGGAGACTTTTTAAGAAAAGAGTAATCAACTAACTATACTATTATTGAGAGGTGAAAGAAAATGAAAAAAATCCTTTGGATTTAGCAGCATGGATAACATCGGTCATCTTGATCTGTGTAGTTCCAGTAGAATGGTAGGGGCAGAAACCAGATTTCAGCAGGTTGAAGTTGCAATGAAAGTAGAGATAGCATGTGTAAACAAATCTTCTGAGACTTTTGGCTATGAAGATGAACAGAGAAATGAGGCAATGTGGGGCAACATGGAGTCAAGGAGCCTCAGTCAAAGAGGCTGGTGAGGATGACATAATTGAATGCTGTATGTGATGATGTCAGAGAAAGAGAAAAAACAAAGACAACAAAAAACAGTCCAATTCTCTGACAATCTGTAATGCTAATTCCTAGCTCACAGATGCCTAAATTTCTACTCCTGTAAGGTAAGTAAATTTTTATTAAGAATTATGCAAGCTGTCTCTTCTGGATTTTGTTTTTTTAACAATAACAAGAAAACTCTTGGGATTGAACTGAAAGAGAACTCAAAGATTTTCTTCCTAGAAAAAACAAAATAACTCTATAAAAATAAAAAATATATTCTTATTTTGTGAATTCTATAAACTGTCCATTCTGATATTTAACAGCTCTTCCACTTAGGATATTCTTCTTTATAGATCATTGTGAAATGGTTTGCACCGTATTCCTATACTCATATACTTTCATGCAAATGCCTTTAACAGGGACATCAAATTCTCAAGAACTTTAAAGACACACATTAATAAATAATAAAAAAAAATTAAACCCCAATTAATAAATCAATCTCAAAGTTGAAGTAAATATTATGTTACACAAAGAATTACCTATTGATTTATTGTCTTGTTTTTTTGCTTTTGTTGGAAGAAAGTATGGTCTTAAATTTGACTTTTCAAAATGACTCCTTTTATGGTCAGGCTCACTTTTGAAGGAAACACACCTGGAAGAAATAAAAATTAATCTCAGTTAAAATAACCTTATAATTTACAAAATTAATCCCAAAAATAAGTTTGGAGAAATGTGGTGAAGTCTCAGTTATATACATTGGGACGCTGTTATATTAATATTATCATAGCACAAAGTGTAAAAGATTGGGACTGACTGAGAAAGAGCTGAAAATATTAGTAATAATTATTTAAAGTATGTGGGGACAGGAGACCACCTATTTTTGTGACAGAATTGAAGGTACTCCAGGAAACCATCATTCATAAGCTCATTAACATTCAGAAAAATATGCTGGAAATTAGTTAAATGAAATATCAGGGATATTGTCATATCTGAGGTCGAGTGGTGGGCCAGTGAGTTAGGGACAGTTCAGACAGCAGAATAGTATGCCAGATTGGGTCAAAGTATTTATTTATTACAAACAAAAAGTTTTCTACATAAAATTCTTTAATTGGCTATTGATGGTATATAAGAAAGTTAATAGTATTATATAATGAATGATATTTCATATCTCTGAAAGGACATCATGTTTGGTAAAGTACAGGTTCAGCGAAAACGAGCGACACCCACAATGAAATAGATTGATACAATAGCTGCAACAACAGGCTGAAACATAACCAACAATCATGAAGATGGTGCAGGACTGGGCAATACTTTGTTCGGTTATGCAGAAGCTCTCCATGAGTTAGAGTCATCTCAGCGGCAACTAACAACGACAACGTACCTCTAAATGCTGGAGCAACACTTGACTCAGTCCTGAGACCTCAGACACTCACCCTAAGTTGATACCATTCAGTCCCACACCTTTAAATATTACCTAAAGGCTAATGTCACCTAGATTTACGGTTCAGGTCTGAACTGCTTCTCTGAGCCCCAGATTTATATATCCAACTGCCTACATGACCTATGGTAAAGTAGAGGGTCAGCGAAAGAAAGGAAGATCCTCAATGAAATGGATTGACACAGTGGTTGCAATGATGGGCTCAAGCATAGCAATGATTGTCAGGACGGCAGAGGACTGAGCACTGTTTTGTTCCATTGTACGTGTGGTTGATAAGAGTCGGAACTGACTCAACGGCACCTAACAACAACATGACTTATACATTTAGATGTATGATAAAAACCAAAAACCAAACCTGTTGCCGTCGAGTCCGACTCATAGCAACCCTATAGGAGGTGAGAGTAGAACTGCCCCATAGGATTTCCAAGAAGTGCCTGATGGATTGAAATCGCCAACCTTTTGGTTAACAGCCATAGCACTTAACCACTATGCCACCAGGGTTTCCAGATGTACAATAGGCCTCTCAGACGTAACATATTCAAAACCAAATTCTTGATTCCATCCCTTTCCCAATCAGTTTCCTCACCCAGGCTTCCTAATACCCATTCAGTCATAGGCTTAGGCCAAAAACTTTGTGGTCCTCGTGGATTCCTCTTTCGCTCATTCCCCACTCCAATCCCTCAGCAAATCTCACTGGGTCTTTCTTTGAAATCCCAAATTGAACCACTTTTTTCCTCCTTACTTCCACCCTAATCCAAGACCCCTTCATCTCTCATCTGATCTACTCTACTTCTTCTATCTGTTCTCCCTGCTATCACTCTTGTCCTGCACAGGCTAGCCTCCATGTAGCCATGGTGACACAAGTAAAAGGTAAATGTGATTGTCATTTCCTCCAACTGCTTCCTGTCAGACTTATTCTAAATTCTCACTGCCAAAGAGAAACTTTTCTCCCAAGTCCTATGTTTCTGAGTAGAGGAACTTCCACTGAATGCCCCCGTGGGCCTCGTTCTGTTCCTTCTCTCCGCCCTCACACGTCTCCACATGAGAGCAGAGTGAATTTTCTGGCTGGTGAGTTTAGGGAAAGGAACTTAAGCACCCACTTAAGGACCTGGGCAGTAGACCAGCAGCAAAGAGGCTGTCATTCTAGGGTCTTCTAATAGAGAAAGTGAGAAACAAGGAGGCCTCTAGCAATGACTCTCAAACCTCTTGCTGTAGATTAGAATCATCTGGGGTGCTCTGAAAAAATATCTAGGCCCAGGCTCTTCTCCACCAGTTAAATCACCATCTCTAAGGTGAGGCCCAGGATATTTTTTTCAAACCTCTCAAGTGATTCTAATGAACAGCCACAATAGAGAAGCCCTGCTGCAGAGTCTCACATTTCTCCAGGTATGAGAAGTAAGTGGGAGTCATCCTCCAGCGGCTGAGAAGAGGAAACATTCAGCCCAGCAGTGAAGTCCCCCAGAAGCTTGTTGAAGGAGAGAAGACTGTGACTCTTCCAGAATTACAGTGGGGACTTAAAGGAGCCTGTCTACGTGGAACTGAGGAATTGTATGGGTTGTGGCAAGAGAGGCAGAAATCTCTGTTTCTACTTGGATAAATGTCTTGGTCTTCTCAGCCTTTCCTGCTCCTACCCCACCACACTTACCCATTATAAGTTACACTTTACCTCAGATTTTAGAAATGCTTGCCTTATATGAACATGGCTTAAGTATATCTCATTATTATAATATTTCTAATAATTAGAATATGTGACTATATATTGAAAGTATAAAGCTTATATTCCTTTTGTGGGTTTTTTTTTTTTTTGGTTGTTGTTTGTTTTGGGTGCCTATATGTGCTGAGAGAGCTTAGATGGTACAAGCAGTTTGCGATCGACTGCTAACTGAAAGGTGGGTGGTTCAAACCCACCTAGCAGCTCTGCAGAAGAAAAGGCCTGGTGATCTGCTTCCGTAAAGATTAAAGCCTGCAAAACGCAATGGAGCAGTTCTACTCTGTAACAAGTGGGCTTGCCATGAGTCGGACGCCTACTCGACAACAGCTAAACAACAACTATATGCTGGGGGCATTTTAAACTCTTCACATGTATTAACCCATTTAATTCTCCCAACACCACTATGGACAAATATTATTATCCACATTGTAAAGCTGAGGCAACTGAGGCACAGAGAGGTTATGTAATTTGTCCAAGGTCACAGAGCTAGTAGGAATCAAAGCTAGGCAACCGCTCTATAAGTCCCACTCCCTTAATTGCCATACTATACAATGTCACAGACACTATATGATATATATTGAACTGGAATGAGGAAGAAGGAATTGAGCCAGTCCTACTATATGCTGAGACTGTAACCATATTCTCCATTCATATTTAATTATATTTTATGTAGGTAAGTTTATCCTTCTCTTACAAAAAGTATTTCCAAAAGGAATACTCTTTTAACAAGTCTTAGTGTAGACTTTAAAAAAAAGAGAAAATATTTCTTCTAACTAGAAACCCTTTTTAATCTAAAAGAAAATATTTTCTAATTTGTCTATTTGCCCCTAATTTGTTTCCTATTTTTTACCACTTCGTAAATCCCTGAAAACAAACTGTCATTTTCACCCAATAATCCAGTAGTGAATGCTTAGGTAATGGAGAAATCATTTTTTCTCTTAAAAAAAAGAAATTGCTATGTTCCAGGTAATTTTTTAAAAGGACTTTTGTTAAAATAAGTATGGCTCTTTTTATAAAGGCCTAATAATGAAAAGTTGCAGGAAAAAGTATGATGTTTATTGAAAAGTCTCAGACTGTACACAAAGGAAAGCCAGAAGACAGAGATGTTGAACAATTGTAAAACTCTCTGCTGATCAGGAAAGTAATCCTAGGAAAATCCTGTCAACAAATTTTGAGCCTTCGTGGCTGACATTTTTATCAGTTCCTGTCTATCCAAGGAAAATGCGGAAATCCTGAACTAATAGTGACATGAAAAAGATGTCTCTGAGAGTGACTGAGAAAGAAGCCCTAAGAGTTTTAACCCTAAACCAGTGGCTCTCAATCCTAACTTTATATAAGAATCATTTGGGGTGTCTTTAAAATACTGATGCTTGGGGCCCACTCCAAACTAATTAAATTAGAACCCAGTTACTTTGAATCTCCCCAGGTGATGCTAATGGTAGCTGGGTTGAAAGATACTACTCAAATTGAAAGCAAAGCTCAACTACAAATAAACCTGGGTCCCAAAACCACAAACCCATTGCCATCGAGTTGCTTCTGACTCACCGAGACCCTATAAGACAGAGTAGAACTGCCCCATAGGGTTTCCAAGGCCATAATCTTTACGGAAGCAGACTGCCACATCTTTCTTCAGCAGAGCAGCTGGTTAGCAGCTGAGCAGGTAACCACTGTGCCACCAGGGCTCCTAAACCCGTGTAGATTCCACCGATTAGATGATTATGGCACCAGGTTGAGAGTTGTTATGGTATTCATCAGGCCAAGAAAACATTGGAACAGATGCATAATGAGGGTGGAACGTAAGCTAGAGCAGTGGTTCTCAAACGGTGGTCTCTGGACCAGCAGCATCAGAGCACCTGGAAACTTGTTAGACATGCAAATTCTCAGGCCCCAGCCCAGACCTATTGGATCAGAAATTCTGGGAATGGTAACTGTTTGATGAGAAACTATTTGTTCTGTAAACCTTCATCTAAAGTACAACAAAAAAAAAAAAAGAAAAGAAAAGAAATTCTGGTAATGGAACCCAGTAATCTGTTTAATAAATCATCCCGGTGATTCTGATGCATCTTCAGGCTTAGAGAGCTACTGGGCTAGAGCCATATGAATCATCTGGTTGTTACAAGCTGCCATCAAGTCCCTGGCTGATGGCGACCCCATGCACAGCAGAATGAAACACCGCCAAATCCTGAGCCATTCCCATGATTGGTTGTGAATTGGACTGTTGTCAACCATATTGAATTCTCACAAGTAGATCGTCAGGCCTTTCTTCCTAGTCCGTCTTAGTTCGAAAGCTTGCTGAAACTTGTTCAGGATCACAGCAACACATGAGCGTCCAGGCAGATAGGTGGTAGCTGCACATGCAGTGCATTGGCCAGGAATCGAACCTGGGTCTCCTGCATGGAAGGCAAGAATTCTACTGGTGAGCCACCAATGAATCACCTGGAGAATCTCGTTAAATGCAGCATCAGACTCAGAGGTCTGGGACGGCAATAGAGATTCTGCATTT